TACTATTTGGCGTATGTGACGTCACTATTAAAAAGGTCTATTAAAAATGGCCTCAATCATGGAGAAGTTTTTGCAGTTACTATTGAAGACGGCGACAGTGAAGAACGACGTGTTAGTGAAACGTTTGGAAGAATTAGATGCGATCAGTTACAGAGGTCACTATGATCTGAGGAGCAGTTTTGTCTGGATCAGTTTAGAATTAACAACATGAATTGAAAATAACAAGTACGAGATAAGTCTAGGGATATTGGTAGCGGGTTCACCCCCTCAGAACCTAGTCTGCGAAAACAAGAGCACATCAAAGATTCCTTCTTAACTTTATTCCTACTTTACTTTATTTTTCATGAAAATGGTCACGTTTTGAATAATAAACTTTTTGGTAAAAACAATTTACAAAAGTTATTACCCTAGTATGTACCTTGTAGAATTTCACTATAGGAAACGACCCTATTGTAAAGTTTTAAGGTAACTACGTACATTTTGAAGTGTTTAGTACCCTTTTACTAAATAAAATAACCATATTGTTTCAAGTTATTTACTTTGGCAAAACATGCAGGTTGTAAGTTCTCACAGACAATAAATTTACACTAAACTATTTACTTTGAGAAAGGCGCCCTTTAGGAGTTTGTTTGTCGTGTGAATCTTATGCGGTCAAGTTAAATTACAATTTGGAACATAGTTGAAAACATGTAGGCTAAAATTCGTGTATTTTTGACAAACAAAATTATATAAGTTTTTTGCCTTAACTTATTTACAATTGCTTAAGAGCTGACATATATTTAGAATCAAAGTACAGGAACATTAGAAAATAGAAAATGCACTGAAACAAATGTTTACGCCGGATTCTTGTCAAATTCTATTTAAAAACATACATTTCTTTATGTGTCAACATAATCAACATTTTTTTTAATAGAACGTGTAACATTTTGATATAGTCTGAGAAAGGTTCAAATAACCTACTGCCAATTATTCCTTAGACACAAACTTATTTATGTCGGTTTATACAAATAAGTTTGCGTCTCAGATAGCTCCGCCCACATGCGCACTGGACACGATAAGAAAAACGCCGCTATCCAAAATTGTCGCGCCTACGTCTTATTCCATCTAGCTGAATGCGTTCTCTTTCAGCTCTACCTCGGTCTAGGTCAGAAACTCAACCTTATCATCAATCATAATTTTATACATAGCTTAATATTAATTTTTTTGTGTGATTTTCAGAACAGTTCAGTAGGACGATTCACTGATTCACTTTTTAATAAAAGTTTCATTATGTGTTAGTTTAATATCTTGCTCCATCAAAATGTTATACCATTTGTAATTTCATAAGTTCCAGTATCCAGGAAATAGCTCTTTAATAAGTTTGAAAAGAAATTATTTGCTATAGTCTGAAGTCGCCAGATAATATCGTTTCATCTCAATTACAATTTCGCGCTGCTACAGAATCTTCAATGAATTTTCCGATCTCTAGAAGACATCTAGCATCACAAGGGACTAAAACAAAATTCATGTGAATAACCTCAAGGCAATAACAAGCCGAGGACTATTCCAGACGTGTCTGGCATATTGATCGGATAAAAAATAAGATATGTATTTTCATACTTCATATATGGCTTAGTGGCTCGAACAAAGGGTTTATGGGAGTGTAGAGGTTTTTATACGTTGGCACTGAACTACATTCTTGAACGGATAGTATTTTGTTATTAGTAATAAACAAATTATGTCCGACTAGAACTACTTAGGTAATGGGAAATTACAGAGATACCGTAAACTATTTGAGATACAGAGTGCCTTTGAAAAGTTGTGCAATGTTATACTGAAAATTCTATAGATGATTGAGTTGAACGAGAAGTTTAATAACAGTAAGGAATATCGGCGTATTTATAATTTTTTGTTTATTTAATTATACGAAAAAAAAGAGGAACACATTTAGAAAATAAATCAAAATTAACTTCAAAACTATTCGTTTCACAAAAAAGATTATAAGAACTTTTTTATTAAACATACATCAAATACAATGTAATTACTATAAAACTAGTTAGTCCAACCAAATTACACTTAGAGAAAAAAAAATTGTTACCTGGACTTTTATAAGTGGAAATGGTAAAGGGGCTTATAATAAACGTAAAAAAAATAAATGCGTGAACAGGGGCGGCGGAGGGTTGATTTGGGGGGTTGAAGAGGGGTGAAAAATGGTATCATTGAGATTTCTGGCGAAAGTTGATGTCAAACAAAAAAGTATCCAATACAAAAGTTATAGATCATGAAAAAATCTACAACTCTTGTAGAGGGCACTTTTGAAGATAACCTCAAAATTTCCGAGAAAAATGCGAAAAACAGGTTTTTTCCTTTTTTTTCGTTTTTTATTTCTCATTTCCGCAAAAATAATTTAATTTTGACGAAACTTGGTGAAAGTATACTTTGCTGTGTCTTAAATAACCACAATTTTTTTTAGATAAAAAAATCAAGAAGTTTCCGAGATATTCATATTTTCCGGTCTGAAACACTTTTTTTTCAAAGAAAAATTCTACTTAAAAAAATCATCGTACAGAGTTCTGCCGGTAATCATTTTTTTCGTTTTGACATATACTTTTTGGTGAAATAAAAAAAATTGGAATCGCAGTTCAAAAACATGCTCAAAAATGCAAAAAAGAAAAATGACTCTTGCAGAAATGAATTTTTCAGTAATTATTGTTGATAGTTTGTTTAAATTTAAAGAAAATTCAAAAACTGATTACACCATTCGATTGTACGGAAAAAATACAAAAGAAACTGTGTCTCATTGTTTGACCCGAAATTTTATTTTTGTACAGTATTGCTATAAACATAATATTTTTTTTTCGTAGGATCGATTAATGTACTTATTTTTTTTAACTTTGAATTGAATTCATAGATGTATAAGCGACTCTTTAATTAAATTATGTAAAATTCAGATTTTTGCTTTCAAAATTTAAAAAATATTTACAAAGGATATTTACAGTTAATAATACTAGGCGAATCTTGGTCTTTTTGGCAACTTTTTAAATTGATCTTCATCGTCCTATCCTTCATTAAACTGGGTTTCTTCCTGATCTTCAAACGTTTCTTCGATATCACTTAATTCTTCGGTTAATTGATCTTCCGGGTTCAAGCAAAGACTGGGCTGCTCGATTTCATTTGAAATGTCTTCGGAATCACTGAAATTTTCTGAAATTTTGTCAAGGTTCAAACAATTGTCCGAACCATGACATTTTGTACATAAATCTGTACATCGCAGTCCATGTTTTCGACACCCGCATCTATTACCGTCACAACTGGTTTCGCAGCTGCAAGAGATTGTTTTTATTAAATCTTCAGGAACGACTGAAACTTCTGTAAAGCGAGGCATGAGTATTTTGGAATTATTCGCAATTACTTCTTTCCAGCCCCACTTGGTTGCAGTTATTTTGTTTCCAAGCCACGTCTGAAGCTGAAAGTATGCTCTATAGGAGTGTTGTGTAGCTGCTCCGACAGTTGGTGGTAATTTTTCTAATTTAAAAGTAGACTTTGCAGTTAATACTTTGTATTGCTGAAATCTCAAATCATCCAGAGATAATTTATCATTTGTGCATTTGTAAATAGACGAAATTAATTTACAACCATTTCGAACAATGACTTTTGATTCTGCATTAGTCTCATAAAAAGGTTTTACCAACGGTAATAGATGCGGGTGTCGAAAACATGGAGTGCGATGTACAGATTTATGTACAAAATGTCATGGTTCGGACAATTGTTTGAACGTTGACAAAATTTCGGAAAATTTCAGTGATTCCGAAGACATTTCACATGAAATTGAGAAGCCCAGTCTTTGCTTGAACCCGGAAGATCAATTAAACGAAGAATTAAGTGATATCAAAGAAACGTTTGAAGAACAGGAAGACTGGGTTCTAATGAAGGATCGGACGATGAAGTTCAAGTTAAAAGGCTGCCAAAAAGACCAAGATTCGCCTAGTATTATTAACTGTAAATATCCTTTGTAAATATTTTTTAAATTTTGAAAGCAAAAATCTGAATTTTACATAATTTAATTAAAGAGTCGCTTATACATCTATGAATTCAATTCAAAGTTAAAAAAAATAAGTACATTAATCGATCCTACGAAAAAAAATATTATGTTTATAGCAATACTGTACAAAAATAAAATTTCGGGTCAAACAATGAGACACAGTTTCTTTTGTATTTTTTCCGTACAATCGAATGGTGTAATCAGTTTTTGAATTTTCTTTAAATTTAAACAAACTATCAACAATAATTACTGAAAAACTCATTTCTGCAAGAGTCATTTTTCTTTTTTGCATTTTTGAGCATGTTTTTGAACTGCGATTCCAATTTTTTTTATTTCACCAAAAAGTATATGTCAAAACGAAAAAAATGATTACCGGCAGAACTCTGTACGATGATTTTTTTAAGTAGAATTTTTCTTTGAAAAAAAAGTGTTTCAGACCGGAAAATATGAATATCTCGGAAACTTCTTGATTTTTTTATCTAAAAAAAAATTGTGGTTATTTAAGACACAGCAAAGTATACTTTCACCAAGTTTCGTCAAAATTAAATTATTTTTGCGGAAATGAGAAATAAAAAACGAAAAAAAAGGAAAAAACCCATTTTTCGCATTTTTCTCGGAAATTTTGAGGTTATCTTCAAAAGTGACCCCTACAAGAGTTGTAGATTTTTTCATGATCTATAACTTTTGTATTGGATACTTTTTTGTTTGACATCAACTTTCGCCAGAAATCACAATGATACCATTTTTCACCCCTTTTCAACCCCCCAAATCAACCCTCCGCCGCCCCTGCTCACGCATTTATTTTTTTTAAGTTTATTATAAGCCCCTTTACCATTTCCACTTATAAAAGTCCAGGTAACAATTTTTTTTTTCTCCTATAAATGAGTTATTTCGATCGGTCAAAGTCCACATAAATTGAACTCGATTATTTTTTAAAATTTTTGCTGTATCGTTAATAATATTCATTTTTATATTTCAGAATCTCAAGAACCAAATCATGACAACGAATTTATGGGTCGAACAAGTAAGTTTTAGTTTCTTTAAATGCATGTAATTTCTTTTACCGTTGTTTTTTCTAATGTTTACTTTAATCAGCAACAGTCCTAATTTAAATTGATACAGAACGGAACGTTTTACAAATAGTAATTTAAAAAAAACTCGTGTTGTTAATGGTCGCTGCGTTAGGAATAGATTATCCTGCGTACATCAGGAACAAGGATAATTAGAATATGTAATTGAAAGTGGAGACTAACGCTATTACTTAAATAATGTGTTTTATATATTCATTTATAAATAAATACAATCAATACGAATTCAGTTATTATAATATTTATATTTCTATACGCTTTGAGATATACAGGGTGTGGCGTGTATAGTCTATAAAAATTAAACTACAGCTTCCTGATGACATTTGTAATAGAAAACTCTTATACCAAAAAGTTCTATCTTCGCGTTTTTTTTTTTGTAAATTAAAGTTCATTTATTAACGAAAATGAAGGCCGACCCTGTTATTTATTAAAAACTTTGGAAATGTTTTTTTTTCGACCCGAGATGCAACCTTATAATTTAAGTCGGTATAATCTAATACTGGCAATAGAAAAAGAAGGTTACATTGTCAAAAAATTTCTGCAGTCAACTGATTTTGTATTTGTATTGAATTCATTATTCACTTAATTATTAAATATTAAGCATCGTCCATCGACCCATCAGTATTAAAAAGTGAAAGATTCCAGACAAAAGTTTTTATTTTGTAATTGCACGATAGTGACAGTGTAATTTTTATAAAGAAGAAAAAAATATGAATAGCGTGTCAATTACATTAAAAAGGAGATTCTTATTTCTTACTTAGCTTAATTTTTAGTTTGTACACAAACTAGTTTTACAATGAACCAAGAAAACAATGCATTTACTATTTCCGAACATGTCGATATGGTGTAGCCGGAGAAAATGCGCTCGCGGCGACTAGGTTGTACCGGGAACGATGGCCACAACGTCACCTTGGTCAGCAAGTGAACGAAGACCCCACAATTAGTACTCGACAACTCGCACAGCAAGTAGGAACCTCATCTCGTACCGTACATCCCATCTTAAGGCGCCAGCTGTTGCACCCCTATCATTTGCAACCAGTTCAACAGATTTTATCCCCGGATTGTGATCAACGAATGCGTTTTTGCAGATGGTTTTTACGGCAATAGTAGACGTAGTAGAAGTAGACTTTCCTGCTTATGTTTGTGTAACAAATGAGGCGACATTTAGCCTTGATGAAGTGAATTGCCATAATATACACATATGGGCCGATGAAAATCCTCACGCGATTAGGGAAACTCATTTTCAACATCGGTTCTCGGTAAATGTTTGGGCTGGCATAATAGGCAATGTACTTTTGGGTCCCTATTTCTTGGAAGGACGACTAAATGGACACATATGCTGACTTTTTGGAGAACCGGTTGCCTGAATTATTGGACGATGTGGCATTACAAGTTCGGGCACGCATGTTTTATTTTCAAAATGTGTGGCTCCTTCACACAGTACTCGAGAAGTAACGACACTTTTGAATGAAATGTTTCCTCAGCGATGGATTGGACGCTTTGGTCCTGTGCCGTGGCCACCTCCGTCACCTGATCTAACTCCAATGGACTTTATTATCTTTGGAGTCACTTGAATTAATTGATTTACAATACTCCAATTGCTACGGTGGAACCGTATACTTGAAGCTGCTGATACAATTAGGGGGATACCTGGAATTTGGGAAAATATTCGTCAAAATTGGATGCGTCGGTGCCACGCCTAATGGGGATCAATTTCAACTTTTTCTCTAGAAATGGTAAGTTTTATTTCATTTTGTTCCATATTTTAATGGAGTTTGTTTAGTGCACGCAGTTAGCAACTACAGATGCTTACGGATGTGGTTTTGTTTGCGAACTCTTGCAGTAACAACAATGAATTTAAGATAGTAATTAATTATTATAATAAGAAAATATCAGTTTTTTTTTAAATATCTGTTTTTCTTAGTTTGTACTTTTGCATTGAAAAATTCCCCAAAAATTGAGAAGTATCTTTCTATCTTTCAACGACGATTTGTTTACGTGGCTGGTCTACAGCACGTAACTCATCCTACAGCACACGGACAAGACCGTTCCAGAGAAAATAATTTGATCCATAAATGAACTTTAATTTACGGAAAAAAAACGCAAAAATAGACCTTTTTTTGTATAAGACAAATATATTTAGGAAGCGGTAGTTTAGATTATATACGCCACACCCTGAGGCTCTTTTTTTGAGTCTCGGTCAAGGTCAGTCAAACTAGGACAAAATTAAGGAATTTGATGGCAGTAACTTGCCAAAGAGACTTTGACTTTTTTGTTTTTAGTTTTCGATGAAGATCTTTTACAAAATTAGTGAAATAAACCTTTGCAAAAGGATGTCAAGGATTATTTTTATGAAATTAGTTTTCCCATCCAAATAATTCACATTGAAAAAGGCAGACAAATACAAAATACACATCGTGCATTTCAAAAAATTGTTCATTTGGAAATCTGTCTCCTGAACCGGCAATGACTTCGTTTTTAAATATGTTTGACAGTTTAAAATTTATTTTGACATATTTCCACAGACATATCATAGGATGTTTATTCTATTATCACTTACTTCATCTTTTAGTATTTGTAGCCTGCAAGGATCCAAGTTCAAAGAATAATTTGAGACATATCTTTAATAATTTCATAATTTAAATGTTTTAAGATCAACGAACAATTCTGCATTTGCATTGCTCTTAATAATTCTTTGCTCTGCAGAATTAACTGTCGTAGGAATCTGAATATAAAAAATGCCTACCCTTATTACTTGGATAGCAGTTTATGTAAATTCCGTAAAATACTTCAAATCTTAATTTAACTACGTGATCTTGATTACGTGTTAGGAATATTTAGGAGAAAAGGGAGAAAACAGGGTAAATTATTTGTGCTTAAAATTTTTATCTTTTTATTTGCTCTGCAGCTGTGACCTTAATCTCTCCCTGATGTCGCTTTAAAATGTTTTCTTTAAATTTATGGACACATTCGAAGTAGCTTTTTGTATTCTCCACATACATGCTTACCGTTCGTCTCCATAGAAAAAGATCAACGTTGTTTAATCTTTAATATCTGGATTATTTGTCCAACATTTATCAACTCTGTGGTATAAAATGGCATTTCCATGATCGTAAATATTACACAGCACACAAAAAAAAGTATCGGGTCTGGTATTCAGACCCATATATTTCCATGTATTTTTTCCGGTGAATCCGAATCTGCCTTCAGATTTGGCCCAACGGGTTTGAGTTTTAGGGAAAATTAAAAAAAACAGGTCAAAATTCACAAAAAACGTCATTTACGGTCGACGAAAGTTATAAAAAAATCTAATTATTCTACCAGCTCACTAGACGTATGATTTTTCACTCGTTTAATTCCAATTTATCATCATAGAGTCGGACAAGCTGGTCCAATTTCATTCAAACACAGAAAATAGATCAAAATGCAAAAACGCCATTTTCATGGCATAATTCGTGTTGCAGAGTTCTGGATCCATCTTTTTATCCACCCATCCATTTATGAATTCATACATATTTCTATCCAGTCGTTCATTCATGAATACGCATATTTATTCATCCAGCTGTTCCACCTATAAAACCCACCCATCCACTGTACTGAGAGTTGAGATAGCAGCCTAAAATATTGAGAATGCAATAAAACTTGTAGAATAGTCTACTTTCTAAACAAAAGAAAACGATATCTACAAATCATTCTTATTTTTGTTGCTATAACGTGTTCTCTTTTCTTCAAAGGATCTATGCAAAGGGTTACGCTTTCGTTTAATCCCTCTATTTTTCGTTTCTCCTTTTAACAACCAACAAAAATCGGCCATCATGTTGTGATTCCATCTTCCTTGATATCGCTGTTCTGTAAACCTTCATATCCTGATGAGATCGTTCGCCTTGTTCTTCGCTATAATCTCTAAGATTTTCAGGAAACCAATCTAGATAGGAATGAAGGAAGTGCAACTTGTAGTCCATCAAAAATCCCAGGTCTTGGAAGTCTTTTATCATTTTTGATACAATTTCTTCGTATTTAGGACTCTTGTTGTTTCCTAAAAAATTTGTCGCTACAACTTTGAAACTAGTCCAAGCACTCTTCTCAACGCTACTCATTGCAGTTGTAGTTGCATACTTGAACAATGTCCGAATCTGAGGTCCATCGAATACACCTTCTATCAATTTCCTCTCAGAAATATTCGGAAATTTTATATATATAAAGGGCGAAAACTTATTGGTTGTTAAAAAGAGAAACGGAAAATGGAGGGACTAAACGAAAGCGTAACCCTTTGCACTGATCCTTTGAAGAAAAGAGAACACGTTATAGCAACAAAAATAAGAATGATTTGTAGATATCGTTTTCTTTTGTTTAGAAAGTAGACTATTCTACAAGTTTTATTGCATTCTCAATATTCTAGGCCAAGGGTCGGCAAGTAATTTTGGGTGGGGTCCAGATACTTTTGAAAATTTTTAACGAGGTCCAAAAAAATTTATATTATTTTTTTTATTTTAATTTGAACTCAAATTTAATCTGCTTACTAACCATTAAGAACTCACACACTCACACAATTGTAAAATACTAGAAAAAATGATAAGATTGGAACTTAAACGTAAAAAACATTTTTTAAATAATAATTTATTTGAGTAATTTATACTTTCAAAAAATTTTTGGCGGTCCAGTATTTTACCTTCCGCGGTCCGGATCTGGACCGCGGTCCGCCAGTTGCCGACCCTTGTTCTAGGCTATTATCTCGTCTCTCAGCACAAAAAGTAGATAGATAGATGGGTGGGTTTTATAGGTGGTACAGGTGGATGCATAAATATGCGTATACATGCATGAATGACTGGATAGAAATATGTATGAATTCATAAACGGGTGGCTAGATAAAAAGATGGATCCAGAACTCTGCATCACGAATTATGCGATGAAAATGTCATTTTTAAGCATTTTGATC